TGCTAAATAGAAAAAAGACTGGAAATAAAAGTGTGAAAATGACAGTAGAAGTTATATTTGGTTAGTGTGTTTACAGGTGTATCATGAGGACTCCCAAGAATACCTCCAGATTTGGCAGATCACTGTAAGGATCAAGAGGCTGTAGCATCTGTGCAATACTTTAAGATTTATTATACTGAAAGTACACAAAATAAGCAAATAAGCAAAAGGGAAAAGTAGCATGGAGTATGGTCGGTTGGAAACTAGTGTATACTTCCAAGAGTCCTTCCATTAGATTCATACAGGATGTTTCTAACTCATCTAAGCAAGAAATGATGTGTTATCTACCAGAAAAATTAACCTGAGCCTTGGAGTGCAGGGGAGTGTGTGTGTGTGTGTGTGTGTGTGTTTGTGTGTGTGTGTAGGGTGGTGGGGTCAGTCATCAAATTTACCAGAAGTTTATGTTCACAAACTATTGTTCTAATAACTTAGGCACTGATAAGCAGCCTTATCAATTAGGGTGATAGACTAGCAGTGTTAGACTTGCCTTTTTAACTCATTTCTGTACACATGTGATATACTAATTGCCGCAGTCTGGCTGGGCACAAATCACCCAAGCAGGAACAAACTTTATTTCTCCCCCGAAACTCCCCGGAAAGCTACCCATGTGGCCCTTCCAGGAACCCCACACACCAACTGGAACTCCCTCCACCAGAACTTCACCAACCAAGCAAATTCCCCAGGAATCCCTGCTATAGCTCCAAAGTAGCGGACAGCAGGGGTCTATATACAATTGAATACACAGCCTGTTTCATTCCAGCTCGCCTCTCAAACATTACTTCTGGCAAAATGCCAGGGGTCATTCGGACTGGGCTGTGGCTCTCAACAGTAATAGCTTTTGCATACTACTCATTTGAAAGAGATTACTTTTCCATCATTTTATTACTTTGTTATGTCTTCCTATGTTAAATGAGATTTCTCCTAGATTTTAAAATTCCTTTAATAAAAATACCATTGTGATACCTATTTTTTTCTTTTCAACAATTGTTTGGCTTGTGTTTTACCTCTGAGCTATATTCCCAACCTTTTTGTTTTTAATTTTTTTGAGACAGTCTTGCTCATTGTTTAGAGCCTTGCTGAGTTGCTAAGACTGGCCTTGATTTACCATCCTTCTGCCTCTGCTTCAGCTTTCAAGCCACTGGGATTATAGGCATGTGCCATTGTGCTCAGCTGTAATATTTCTTTCACTTGTATATTGGAAATTTGAGGATTATTTAGAAAAACCTGCTGGTAGTGGAAGTGTAAATTGCTACTTAACCTTTCTAGAAAAGCAGCTTTAACCTTTGGGATACTATCATTCTCAGTTAGACCCGATATTTTTTAGCAGTCCCAATTATCTGTTAAATTTTAGTATGTGGTCAGTTATTTTGTAAATGTCTTCAAAAGAACAAAAAGAAGATTAAAAAATATTAGAAGAATCCCCCCCTTTAAAATCACCATATTGGTCTATTGGGTCACTATATAAATTTAAGATAACATTATCAAAATATTTTTTATTTTTCCTTTGTCAAACATTTGGTTATTTTGTCTTGCTAAAGCTTATTTTATCATAACTCTTTAGTTATTCCCAACTATGCTAATAAAGAATAATATAGAAAAAAAACCCCACAAAATGGTAAAGTAAAAGACATCTCTTTTTAAAAATTATATCATCAAAATACTCTACCACCTTTTTTGATGGTGTTTTACCACTGAGCTACATTCCCAGACTTTTTTCTTTTTTCTTTTTGGTGGTGCTGGGGATTAGAACCCAGGGTCTTGTGCACGAGAGGCAAGCCCTCTACCAACTGAGCTACATACATCCCCAGCCCCAAACTTTTTGTTTTTATTTTTTGAGACCGTCTTGCTCATTATTTGGGGCCTTGGTATGTTGTTAAGACTGGCCTTGGTAGTACTGGTTATTGAACCTAGAGCCTTGGGCATGCTAGCCAAGCACCATACCATTGAGGACCACCTATAGCCCTGTATCATCCTTCTTTCTTTTTAGTAGGTTTTTTTAGTTGTAGAAGGACACAACACCTTTATTTATTTATCGTGGTGCTGAGGACTGAACCCATTGCCTTACATGTGCTTTTGTAGGCAAGTGGTCCACCACTGAACCACAATCTCAGTCCCCTGCATCATCTTTTAAGTCACTCTCACAACATAGAGGTCCTTTCCAAATGATGGTATTTCATGGGATTTTCTTATACAAAACTTAAATTCTTATTTAAATGAAACATTTTCAAGATGATTATTCTAGTGACAAAATGGGGGAAATATTAGAGTTTAAGATTTAAAACCTTTGTGAATACTGAGAGATGAAAGTGAAATTAAAAAGATGGGCGAAAGTGGAGTGGGGTGGTGCACACCTATAATCTCAGCTACTTGGGAAGCTGAGGAAGGATTATTGCAAGTTTGAGGCTAGCCTGGACAATTTAGTGAGGCCCTGTCTCAAATTAAAAAATAAAGAGTATTGGGAGTGTGTGTGTGTCTGTCTATGGATGTAGCTTAGTGGTAGAGTATAAGTGGGTTTGATTCCTAGTACTTCAAAAAAAATAAAATGAGAAAATGGACAAAGGATGATTCTAAAGAATAGTAGGTACAGTGAAATCACAGATGTTACTATTTTCACATATGTCCTAATTTAACAAAAATAAGACACAGTCCTTAAGTACTTCCCTTCTGTGTGCCACACATTCCTATATTTCTCACTTTTGTTATATAATGGATAAAGGTGATTGTGACTGATTTTTGCACGCTTGTTCATGTCTCTTTAGAAGTAGAATTGCAGGAACAAGGTAATATAAAAGGAGGGGCTCTGAGAGTATACACATTTGTGTTTGTTTCTTGCAAGAAGACTCTTACTTCCTTTCTCCCCAAATGTTTTTAAGAATCATCTAGTGGCAAGTGGGTGTGTTTTCACAAAACTGTAATCCCAGTGGCTTGGGAGGCTGAGACAGGAGGATGAGAGAGTTCAAACCCAGTCTCAGGAATTTATCGAGGCCTTAAGCCACTTGGTGAAACCCTGTCTCTAAAAAATTATAAAAAATGGCTGGGGGTGTGGTTCAGTGGTTAAGTGCCCCTGAGTTCAATCACTGACACCAAAAAAAAAAAAAAAAAAAGGAATTAGCTAATGGTCCATGTTATAGTTAAAATACCTGATATGTTTCAGAGTATAAAGATGTCATTATTTTTCTCCTAACCTTGTTTACCATTTTCCTGTTTTCATGTAAAAATCTTGTCATTTTCAAGTAATTGTCATGTTTTCTGAGACAAGTGGTCTGCTTAGTAATTTTCCTTCCTGAGTATCTTTTGAATTTTGAGGAATAGCCTTGTGTTATTGAAGGGATATGCATGTTCTATCTTTGTTGACCTTTACTCACCTGGAGCTCTTTTTTTTCTGGTTTTATTGCTATTCTTATGTTTACTGTCCTGCCCTAGTTTCCAGTGGGTAAATTCTCCACTTAATGCATCATCTTCATTTTGGCCCTGGGCCCCTTTGAGTCCTCTTAGAAGTAACAAAATTCAAATCTCTTTTCTTTTGTGTTCTTACTTAGCTTATTTGAGGTCTCTATAATTACATTCCATAATATCCCATACCTGATTTTAATTCTTTCTTAAAAGGTTTCCACTAGCTCAGATACAATTTTTTAAAAACAATTTTGTATACTTTTCTCTGGTTTAGGATCTTGTTTATGTGTTAAACAGAAGCTTTGGGTTCCAAAAATCCCCTTCCCCATTTCTAGCTCTTCTGGTAGCACTTTAACAATCAAACATATTTCTCTCTGAAGCATCATTTTTTGAAGGCAGAGTAAGTAGATTTTACTGTTGTGTGCATGGTGAGCTGATAGCAAAAAAAAATTAATATCAGTATAACATCATAACTCTTCCTTCCTCCTCTTACTTAGAAAAATATTAAAAAAGAGAATGTTTTTCTAGTCACATCTTTTAGTCTACACTCTTGTCTCTTGTCTTTTGCATCTCCTACTTTTGTTTGATACCTTTAGGTGTCATTTTAGGCTTTAGCTTTTATTTGGGGCATGGGGTACAGGAGATTGAACTCAGGGTACTCAACCACTGAGCCACATCCCTAGCCCTATTTTGTATTTTATTTAGAGATAGGGTCTCACTGAGTTGCTTAGTACCTTGTTGTTGCTGAGGCTGGTTTTGAATTTGTAATCCTCCTGCCTCAGTTTCCAGAGCTGCTGGGATTATAGGTGTGTGCCACTGGGCCCAACAGGCTTTAGCAGTTTTTTAAGAAAGATTTTTTCCTCACCCTGAACGACACTGGTAGACTGGGATATAGGTAGATGTGGGTAGAGATGCATGGTTTGAAGTGATGGGACATGGGAATGATAAGGGCCACATAACATAAAACATAGGTCAGGTATGCATTATTTTTCATTGTGCTTTATAAAAGTGAACTACAGTGGTTCTGCTGATAATTGATAATTTATATACTCGTATTTTCTGGCTTTGACACTCACCTTTATCTGGCTAGCAAATATTTATTGACTGATTTTATGACAAGATATGCTACTTTAAAAAAAAAAATCTTTATTTTTATGTGGTGCTGAGGATCAATCCCAGGGCCTCGCACGTGCTAAGCGAGTGCTCTACTGCTGAGCTACAACTCCAGCCCAAGATATGCTACTTCTGACATATTCTCAACTGAGATATTTTCCAATCATTATTTTATTTATTTATTTTTTGGTATTGGTCATTGAACTCAAGGGCACTCAACCACTGAGTCACATCCCCTGCCCTATTTTGTATTTTATTTATTTGCTTAATGCTTTGCCATTGCTAAGACTGGCTTTGAACTCGTTATCCTCCTGTCTCAGCCTCCCAAGCCACTGGGAATACAGGCGTGAGACATCTCGCCCAGCTCCAAGCATATATATTTATTATAAAAAGTTTCTAGAATGGTGTTGAAAGTAGGCATTATGTTAATATTTATTAATTCTTTATATATCCAGTACTCCTCGTCCAGTCATTGTGGAGCCCATGGAGCAGTTTGATGATGAAGATGGCTTGCCAGAGAAGCTAATGCAGAAAACTCAGCAATATCATAAGTAAGATTTTAATAATAAAGATATTTTAGATATGTGCTGTCAGGGGTGTTTATTTTATCATATTTACTGTCTAGTACTATTGGGTTATACGATATTCTGTGTAGTCATACAATCTGGTTAATAGAGTAATCTGGTTTATGTTGAATGCTAGTTGTCTTTTTGTGTGTGAAACATTAATTTTACTTAGAATAATCTTTCCTTTTATACTGTGGTAGAGGTAGGTGGTTAGGAGGAGACATGCTAAAGAAAAATGAAATCTAGATAATGTGAAAATATATCTTCAGTTAGTATGCTTCAGGTGTATTTAAGTAGAAAGAAGACTTTTGGGTGGGTAGGGAGTAGTGTTGGGAGGTCAAATATCCTGGCACAGAGGAAGAACTATTTTACAGGTTTTAAAAAAAAAGCCCATTTTCAAAATGCTGTAAATTTTGTCAGTTGCCCCCCCCTTTTGAATCACTTTTTTTTTTTTTTGGAAATAATTTTTTCTTTATATTTTTATTTTTTAGTTATAGTTGGACAACTAAAATAAAATCTTTATTTTTATGTGGTGCTGAGGATCAAACCCAGGGCCTTGCACATGCTAGGCGAGCGCTCTATCACTGAGCCACAATCCCAGACCCTGCCTTTTTTTTTTTTTTTATTGATTGTTCAAAACATTACAGAGCTCATGATATATCATCTTTCATACATTTGACTCAATTGGGTTTTGAACTCTCATTTCTACCCCAAATACAGATTGCAGAATCACATCTGTTACATACTCACATTTTTACATAATGGCATATTAGTGACTGTTGTATTCTGCTACCTTTCCTGTCCCCTACTATCTCCCCTCTCCTCCCCTCCCATCTTCCCTCTCTACCTCCTCTGCTGTTATTCAATTCTCTCCCTTTTTTTCCCCTCCCCCTTGCCCCTCATAACCTCTTATAATTTTGTGTATCATTGAAGGTCTCCTACCATTTCCATATGCTTTCCCTTCTCTCTCCCTTTCTCTCCCCCCATTCGTCTTTGTTTACTGTTAGTCTTTTCCTCATGCTCTTCCTTCCTGTTCTGTTCCTAGTTGCTCTCTTTATATCAAAGAAGACATTTGGCATTTGTTTTTTAGGGCTTGGCTAGCTTCACTTAGCATAATCTGCTCTAATGCCATCCATTTCCCTGCAAATTCTATGATTTTGTCATTTCTTAGTGCTGCATAATACTCCATTGTATATAGATGCCACATTTTTTTATCCATTTATCTATTGAATGGATATTTTTTTTAAAAAATATTTTTTAAGGTATTAGAATATCATTTATTTATTTATTTATTTATTGATTGATTGATTGATTGATTGATTGATTGAATGTGCTGAGGAATGAACCAAGGGCCTTATGCGTGCGAGGCAAGCGTTCTACCACTGGGCTACAACCCCAACCCTATCAGTTGCCTTTTTTATTTAGTGTGGTACAATTATATTTGCATAAGTTGTCTGTAAATACTTTGTTTTTATAAACAGTCAATTTATTGTCTTTGTGCCAAGCACTATTCTGAGTGTTACTAGTGCAGTCAAATAGGTAGTTGGGTGCATCTGATTTTAGAGGATCTCTCCTGGCAAGGAGTACCAACATGTGATAACAAGCCAAAGGACTGAACTCTGAGTCTTGAAATAATCCATATATATAGCAGATTGGAAGATCAGAAGGAATCAAAAAAGACTGAGAAAGGGGGTCAGTCATTGGAATAGGGGCGTCAACCAGCAGCAAACTGAGTCCTGGAGCAAGGGAAGAGTATCACTAGTAATGGATCATAATTCAGAACCATAATGCTGTTCTTCAAAGACTTAACAATGTTTGCTTGACATTTTCTTGTTATATCTTACCATTACAAATTTGAGATCGTATACACTTTTGGATTGTGAACTGGAATTATATTAAAGAACTGGAATTATAAGAGTCTTAAACAAAAGTGGGATTTAATACAATTTTTTTTTAAAGAAATCTAGTTAATTTTCCTAGATTTACTACTAAAGAGTCAGGTTCAGGAGAAAATACTCACAGAGGATAAAAAGCAAGTTTAAAATTTAATTCTAGGTCCAAAAATCCATGTTGTTTTCCTAGAGAGAAAGAGAAGAATTCTTATATTTATTTTATAGTCAGTCTCAGAGTTAGGACTGCTGTCTAATATATAGTTCTTAGTAAATTAGTGGTAGGTATATCATCTTACTTCACCCTTCCAAGTTAATACTTTATAAAGAAAAGATGGAAATTTGTTTTGCAGGTATAGAATATCTAGATAGATCATGACTAACCTTTGAATGTCCTCATGTACCTGTGAAAGGTCCTCAAAGCTTTTTCTGGTTATTACATCTTTCCCTCTGTGATAACCTTATGCTTTATCTTTCTGAAATTGGTCCCACCTCTTATCTTTCTTTCTCTACCTCAAAATAAAAGTTAAAATTTATAGTTGCAAATTATAGGTGGGATGAATATTGTATTGTGGGGACTGGGGTTATGGTTCAGTGGTAGAGTGCTCACCTAGAATGTGTAAGGTACTGGGTTCAATCCTCAGCATCACATAAAGATAGATAAATAAAGGTATTATGTCCATCTACAACTAAAAAATTAAAAAAAAAAAAAGATTGTATTGTGTTCCTATGATCCTATGAGTACTTCTTAAAGTTCTCATAGCCAGTAATAATTGATTTTTAAAAAAATTTTAGATAACATTCATAGACCTTTATTATTATTTTTTAATTGGTAATTTGTGCTCATCATTTATGTTATTTCTCTCAAAATATATATATACTAAATTTACATGATGGGGCCAGATACTGTACTTGAGGGACCACAGTTAACAGACTGATGCTCATATTGAATTTAAAATATTTTGTTAGCACTTAAAACAAGTTGTGGGTTAGGCCTTTGATTTTTGGCTCAGCCAGTTAACCTGTTTATTAATAAATAAAGTTTATTTATTAACAATGGTTTCTAACAGCTTTTATTACTAAAATATTACATTTTGCCATGTAATCAGAGTACTACCTATGTGATGAAGAGCCTTGAACATTATAAATGCTCAATAAATGGTAGAGTTATTTTCTGATGTTGTTGTTTACTTTTTAAGCATACATTTCTTTATGTTTTTAATGTAAATTTAGGGAAAGAGAACAGCCACCACGTTTTGCTCAACCTGGAACATTTGAGTTTGAGTATGCATCTCGATGGAAGGCTCTTGATGAAATGGAAAAACAGCAGCGTGAGCAGGTTGATAGAAACATCAGAGAAGCCAAAGAAAAACTGGAGGCAGAAATGGAAGCAGCTAGGCATGAACACCAATTAATGCTAATGAGGCAAGGTAAAGACATATAAATATGGTGTGATATTTTCATATAGATATGGTGTGGTATTTTCTTCTTGAGATTTATTTATGTGTCCACTGACATGTATTACTACTTAAGTTCCTATTGAGGAGTCTAAAGACAAGAGTTGGAACTCAATATTTCCCTTTGCTGCCAAATTTTTTCTTTGATAAGTGGATGCTGATCCATAGTCAGGGACTGAGGGGTGCGTAGGGAAGAATGAAGGAACTTTGGATTGTGCAGAAAGGAGTGAGGGGAGGGCTGGGAAGGCGGGGATGAGAAGGACAGTAAAATGAGATAGACATTATTATACATGTATGGTATACATGTAGTATGATTACAGTACTGGTGTGACTCAGCACCATCTATAGGCAGAGTATTGAAAAGTTATGCTCTATTGTGTAGAGTTTGTCAAAATGCATTCTAGTGTCACGTATAACTAATTAGAACAAATTAAAAAAAGAAAAACATGTGAAAAGAACAGCAAAAAAATTATTTTTTCTGAGAATTTCTTTTATTAAAAACATGAAATTATTTCAGGTTGAGTAAGCACCCAAAATGCTTGGGACTAGGAATATTTCAGATTTCAGGTTTTTGGATTAACAATGCTTGTTCAGTCTTATATAAGTTCTACCTATGTTGAGTAATTTGTTAGAGATATTTCAGTGGTGTTAAATTTAGCCAGTAGCAAATATATACTCTATAGGCAAAAAGAGAAGTATAGTGGGCAATTCTTGATAGTTTTAGTTAAGTCATAAAACCATATATCAAGATTATTTGTTGGAAATTAGGACAGATACTGGTGATTTATAAATTATTGCTACATTCCAAAATGATATAGATGGATAACCTAGAAGAGATATAAAAGATCCATGTGCGCTGATGGATATGGGGATTTAGAAAGAGTAAATTCCTAGTAATGAGCTGGAAGGTACTTGAGACTATGCTAACAGAACTTCTAAGAGCACTGCTAATGGGCCATAATGTTCTCTCATTCCCTACTCGGATACCTAATAATATGATAAACCATTTAAACGTGTCAGAAGCTCATTTCCCTTTTTGTCTTTAGCTTTTTTTTTTTTTTAATACCTGTCTTTATTGTTCATATCTCTCTTCCCTTTTCTGATCTTTAATTTTCCAAATAATTTTTTCTGGTCCTTCCTGCCACCACTCTTTGCCGTTACGCCTGGTAGTATAGGATTACTTTCTCTTCTTCAGGTCATTTATTTGTTTATTTATTTTTGTTTTTAGTGGTACTAGGGATCAAACTCGGGGCCTCATACTCTACCACTGAGCTGCATCCCCAGCCTGGCTCTTTACTTTATTCTTTATTTTTTTTGTAGTTGTAAATGAACACAATGCTTTTATTTTATTAATTTATTTTTATGTGGTGCTGAGGATTGAACCTAGTGCCTTACACATGCTAGGCAAGCTCTTTGCTGCTGAGCAGCTATAGCCCCAGATCTTTACTTTATTCATTTTTATTTTTTAAGTTAGCGTTTCAGTTAATATTTATCTTCAGTTAGCTGTCCACAGAGATTGAGGCACTACAGATATATCTCTGCCTATGTGTAGTATGTTTATGGGAGTTTCTTCTATCTGATGTTTGCCTTCTGTAAACCATTCAATATACTTCAGAGTTATTGTTTCTTTAAAAGGTAAATATTTGTTCCTTCAACTCTAAATCATTTTGGTAAATTTCTGTTACTTTTTGGATAAAGTATAAGGTGTGGGTTTTAATTCTCCTGTCTTGGTTTGTAGAGTTGCTAGAATTACAGGAGTACCAGCTCTTCCAGCCTTTTTTTTTTTTTTTAATTTTTTTTAAAATTTATTTTTCAGTTTTCGGCGGACACAACATCTTTATTTTATTTATATGTGGTGCTAAGGATCGAACCCAGCACCCCGCGCATGCCAGGCAAGCGCGTTACCACTTGAACCACATCCCTAGCCATTTTTTTTTTAATTTTTAAATTTTTTTTAGTTTTTTAGGTGGACACAATATCTTCATTTCATTTTTTTTTAATGTGGTGCTGAGAATCAAACCCAGTGCCTCACGCATGTTAGGCAAGCGCTGTACCACTTGAGCCACATCCCTAGCCCTCCCCCCCTTTTTAAATTAGTCTCGGGCTGGCCACTAACCCTTGGTTCAAACTATCCTCCTGCCTCGGTCTCTCAAATAAGTTGGGACTTCAGGTGTTTACCATGTACCTGACTCCCATCTGGGGTTTTTATTTTTTATTTATTTTTAATTTTTTGGTACTGAGGCTTGAACCCAGGGACTCCGGACTGCTGAGCCATTCCCCAGCCCATTTGGGGGAGGTGGGCGTGGGGGTGGGGTTTGTATTTTACATAGAGACAGGGTCTCACTGACTTGCTTAGTGCCTCACTTTTGCTGAGGCTGGCTTTCAACTTGTGATCCTCCTGCCTTACCATCTGTTTTTGATCATCAGCATAGTTCTTGAATTTTCTTATCTTTGTTACCCTAACTTAATACAACTCTAAGCAGATAGTATAAACTCTTCACCATGTATTTTTCAGTTACTTTCTCTCTTTCCACTACTGAGTTTTTCTTTGTTGTGTTGCTTTTTTTTTCTTTTAATAGTTTTACAAAATTTTGCTTTTGTATTTATAAATTAAGTAATAAAAGTATATTTATTTCCTTTAAATGATGATTCCCAACCACCAAAGAAAGAAGGACAAGGAAATAACTATATTTGGTCATCCTTTTGATTTTCCTGTTATTTTTGTTATCTTACCTCTTATTTTTTTGGATTTATGGCATTGACTTAATCTTCCCTCCCTTTGTCTTTTTTGTACCCTCCCTTCCTCTTTCTTTTACTGGGATGGAATCCACGTCTTATTATGCTGAACATTTTCTCTACCTCTGAGCTATACTCTCAGCCCCATCTTTAATCATAATTCTCATATGTGCTTAAATCTTAACCTTACTGTATATAGGTTCAGGCATGACTTGACTACTGTTCATTACTTATTGCTGTTTATTCTCAATTATCCTCTGTAATAAGGGCATAGAAACAGTATTTCTTTTTTGGGGGTGGGTGCTGGGGATTGAACTGGGGCTCTTGACCACTGAGCCACATCCCCAGCCCTATTGTGTAGTTTATTTAGAGACAGAGTCTCACTGAGTTGCTTTAGTAACTCACTGTTGCTGGGGCTGACTTTAAACTCGGGATCCTCCTGCCTTGGCCTCCCAAGCTATTGGGATTATAGATGTGTACCACTGTGCCTGGCTGAAACAATATTTCTTGAGCTCTTGCATGTGCTGAAATATTATCTATAATCCTTGTTATAAGTGTGAAATCATGTATCTTTCCCTACCCTTTCTTTCTTATTTGGTAACATGTTTTAGAATCTTCTAGCATTTTGTGTTTCTGTAAAGGAGTCTAAAATAATCCTGAATTTATATTATAATTGCTTTATCACATTGTTATTTTTGTTTGTAATACTGGGCAGTGAACCCAGGACCTTGCACCATAATAGACAAGCATTCTGCCACTGAGCTGTGTTGTATCCTTTTTTTAAAGGAAAAATTATTTTGAGAGTCCCTTTTTTTAATTTTTCATTTTTAGTGGTAGATGAATAACAATATCTTTATTATTTATTTATGTGATTCTGAGATTCAAACCCATTGCCCCACACATGAGAAGTAAGCACTCTACTTTTTTTTTTTTTTTTTTTTAATATTTTTAGTTGTCAATGGACCTTTATTTTATTTATTTATTTTTATGTGGTGCTGAGGATTGAACCCAGGGCCTTGCCCATGCTAGGCCAGTGCTCTACTGCTGAGCCACAACCCCAGCCCGAGGGTGACTACTTTCCAAGGAATCTTGCTGGTGGGGATGGTACTGATCTCTCTGTATACTCTGTTTTCTCCTGCTGTACATAAGTACCTGTGAATAAAGTTGAGTTTATGAATCAGGCACGGTAGGAAATTAACAACAATAAAATAATTATACCTATATTGTAACAACATTTATTTAAAATTTTGAATTGTTTATTTTTCATTTAACATTTTTGCACTGTGATTAACTGCAACTACAGAAAGCAGAATTGTAGATAATTCGACATCACTTATTTTTAGTAATTTTCCCCTAGAAAGATATTTATCATGCTAGTGCATAAATGTATAAACTTTAGTAAAATCTCAGTATCTTTGGATCTTAGTGACTTTTCTTTTGCCAGGGGAGGTACTGAGGATTGAACTCATGGACACTCAACCATTGAGTCACATCCCAAGACCTATTTTGTATTTCATTTAAGAGACAGGGTCTTACTGAATTCCTTAGCACCTCACTGTTGCTGAAGATGGCTTTGAACATGAGATCCTCTTGCCTCAGCCTCCCAAGGTGCTGGGGTTGCAGGCATGTGCCACCGTGCCCAGCTTGGATGTTAGCAACTTTTAACATACAGTTTAGTAAGTGTAAAATATTAGTTTTATTTTAAAAATCATAGTAACCCTGCTAAGTATCAGGTAACTGTGCTTAACTGATAATTTGATTGTTAGAGGCTTTGAGTTAATTATACTGTTGTTAAGAGTGAGGAAATATGACCTGAGATGTTAAAGCATCTCTGTTTTGTTTTTTATTTTTTTTTAGGTTCTAGGCATTGAAAGTGGTCTTGTTCACATTGTTTTTGAGCTTCCCTGCTCTGCCCCCTTTCAGGATTTTTCTCCTTGTTGCACTTCTTCATAAGACATTAACATAGTGCTAATTGTGTTGAGAGAGTTCTTTGGGTTTTATGTGGTAACCTAGTTCATTATATCTGTTTGGTCTGATTCTTAAGTGCCAGACTTAATTATACCATATACAAATTTATAATATAATTGTAGACATATTTTGACACTAATAGAGAATTTTTTATTCTTGTTGACATAAAAACACAGAAAAGAAACTAAAAATATTAATGTGTAGTCAATATTTTCTAGATCTGATGAGACGTCAAGAAGAACTCAGACGCTTAGAAGAACTCAGAAACCAAGAGCTGCAGAAACGAAAGCAAATACAGCTGAGGTAAAGCAACATCGCTGTAACATAAACATGAAAATATGTAATTGTGTGAGTTTTAAATAAATGTCCTACTACCTGTTATAAACAAGTTATACAAGTAGGAATATGCTGAAAATAAATAAATAAGAAAATTGTTTATTTTTGACTCCATGTAGGGGATAATAATTTTTTTAAGATTTTTTTTTAGCTGGTTAAGGGTACTTTGATTGCATATTCTTTGGAGTTAAATAATGAGCTTAGGTAATTACGTTACATATGATTTATTAGGTATTATTTTCAGAGATGGATATGTTTGAATTGCGATTAGTTTTTATTTTTTTCATGTGTGACACTACTAGATGTCCCTTATGTATTTTTTGCTTCTGATAATTATTGAAAAGATTTATGGAAGTGGACTCCATTGTAAAAAGCAGTTAAAATCATAGTACATAAGTTAACCATAATGATTAACTGGGGGCTGGTGATGTAGCTCAGTTGGTAGAATGCTTGCCCCTCATGCACAAGGCCCTGTGTTCAACCCCCAGAAGGAAGGAAGGAAGGAAGGAAAGAGGGAGGGAGGGAAGAAGGAAAGAAGGAAGGAGGAAGACTGTGGTTGATTCATAAGATATAATTTTTACATTTGACAGTTTTCCTTGTGCCTGCAGTATTTTATTGTGAAGTATAATGGGATACATAATCTCTTTATAAATTATAATAATCTCTCTATAAATTATAATAAGGAAATGTCCTTAACAAGGTTATGATAGTTGAAACAAACTTAGAAATTTTGGTTTTGAAAGATCTATAAAAATAGCAAGGGCTGGGGATGTGGCTCAAGTGGTAGCTCGCTCGCCTGGCATGCGTGCAGCCTGGGTTCGATCCTCAGCACCACATACCAACAAAGATGTTGTGTCTGCCGAGAACTAAAAAAAAATAAATATTAAAAATTCTCTCTCTCTCTCTCTCTCTCTCTCTCTCTCTCTCTCCTCTCACTCTCTCTTTAAAAAAAATAGCAAGTACTTGTAGTTAGAAGTAACTTGTTTGTGAAAAGTAAAAGTAAAGAAGAAAGTGAAAAACTGAGTCTGAAGCTTTTCTAGTTTGCAGATAGGTGATATTCAGTATGTTTTGATGTATTTTTGTAGTTTTGTCTTTGTACTTGTTTACATCAATATTTGTAGTGTGTGTGTGTGTGTGTTTGTGTGTGTGTGTGTTTGTGTGTGTGTATGTGTGTTTCTGTTTTGGAACTACTATGATTTTACTTTACCCAAGTCATTTCCAGATTATAGTCCATGAATAGGCAGCATCAGCATTCTTACCCAGAGAATTGTTAGAAATGCAAAGTCTCAAACTTAACCTCCAGAACTATTGAATTAAACTTGATTTTAGAGTCAAGCCATTCGGTTCCAGTGCAGCAGTTGCTCACATGAATGTCCTACCTCAGGGATTGTTTTTCAACTTTGTTATTTTTGCTGCTTCTCTTTTTATGTGAACATGTTTAGCTGAGCACCATGGCAGACACCTATAATCTCAGCTCTTGGAAGCTGAGGCAGGAGGATGATGAGTGAAAATTGCCTCAGCAATTTAAGGAGGCCTTAAGCAACTTAGTGAGATCCTGTCCCAAAATAAAAAAATAAAAAGGGCTGGGGATATGGCTCAGTGGTTAAGTGCTGTTGGGTTTAATTCCCAGCACCAAACAAAAAGGACACAAATACCTCCCCTAACTTAAAACCTTATCTAAGGTTTTAAGTAGGAATATGCTGAAAATAAGAAATCTAGCTTCCTCTTATATTTTGACTTGACAGCTAGACTTTTTGAAATTGTACCCTACCTTTTGACTGCCTCCTCCCTCAAAAGAAAGAAAGAAAGAAAAAGAAAAAACCCTAAATAATCAAAACAAATTACATGCATGTGGAGTGGAGTGGGTGGGGGTGGCCCAGAGTAGGATACCAAAATACAAATGAACCAATTACAAATGAATAATATAATCATACTGAAGTGTGTGTGTATTTTTCATTTTAGTTTTTCAGTTTTTGTGCAGTGTACTTATTCAGAGAAAGAAAAATTACTTTTTAAAAAGTAATAAATTGCCAGGTGTGATGGCACATGCCTATAATCCCAGCCACTTGGGAAGCTGAGGTAGGAGGATAACAAGTTCAAGGTCAGCCCCAATAACTCTGCAACTTAGTGACACCCTGTCTCAAAATTAAAAAAAAGAAAACACTGCTTGTCAAGTTTTTGGTGAAGTATCAGAGAATATCCACAGTAACCAAATGGGCTACTAAAATAAGCATATATATATATATATATACACACACACACATACACTTATATGATTTTTTTATGTAAAGCAATATTTACTACAGATTGAATATAAAGCAGATATGGCAGCCATAATAGTCCCTCAGTAATGGCAGGGAAATTCTGCTTCCCTACCACACTGCCTGGGAAGGCCACCAGGATTCTGTTTCCTAAAATAGGAAACTAGAATTCCATTTAGTTAATAATTTTTATGTATTTATATGTACATTAAACACATACTTTTTAAAACTTATAAAAACCTAAGGTTAGTCGTAATAAATTGCATGCACCTTTAAATTTTGAAAGTTTTTTTTTTTTAAAGTATTAAGAAAGAACATTTATTGGGCATTTCTGTCAGATACTGCCATTTGTCTAGAAGTTTGTGAAGTTTACTTGAGGTCAGATAGATGGGCAGGTAGGATGGAATGCCTGAAGGATGTATTCCTCAGACCATTGTTTTTGATATGTTTTTTTTCCTAATTTTGGGCCATGGTTCTCAAATGTTTTTCATCTTATGGTACTTGAAGGATCCCCTGAGACTGGCCCAGATTATCTTTATCATTTTTTGATCTTAGGGATTGAACCCAGCAGTATTTTGAAACAGATTCTTGCTAAATTGCCAAGCCTGGCCTCAAACTTATAATTCTTCTGCCTCAGGTTCCTGAGTAGCTGGGATTACAAGTATGTGCTACTGCATCTGGTTTATGTACCTTTAGGTGAACATATATAGAGATATATGAACATAAATAGAGATAATGAGACCCTATTTTCTCTAAAAGGCTAAAATTAAAGTGAATCTGTGGTACTGGTTTGGAGACAGATATAATAATGAATTCAGTGATGTTTAATATGAACACATACAGAAATACAGATGTTTTTATGTGTGAATTAATATATACATATATTTCATGACTCCATTGACCAAGAGGCCCTAGAATTAGTGGTATCCTAGTAAATATGAGTATATTTAGTATCCACATCTTTGTTTCTAAGAACTCTCATATAAGAAATGAGGGTTGATAGAAACACTGAAAACCCATGATGTGATTAGAATGTCTTGTGCCAAAGAGTATAGAAGCATTCAAAAAAGGATAGAGTATATCAAAAGAACTGGGAGCTTTATGAAGGAGTTCCTTATGCTCACAGTAGAATGATTTTAGCAACAAAGTAAACAGTAATTGTCAGGTTTTTTCAAACATTTGATTTTAAGCCATAGAATAAAATAAATATCCATGAATCCATACTGATAAAAGCAATTGAATAAGTAAATAATTAGAGGGCTAGAAAGGGCAGCTCCCCTTTAAAGTAAGATTCTAATTAATAGATGTAGGAAGAATGAAAGCAATAAAGTCATTGATCAGCAAAAACTGTAATAATAATTATTACAGAGAAGATTTATTGAAAGAAGCTAAAATTGGTAGGCAAAAATTTGAAAAACAGGGTTTTTGCATAATTTCAAGTTTGTATTAAGTACAAATAAAAAACAAAGTGAATAAGAATAAAATCCATCAGACACCTCGAAAACTGTGTTAAAATTCCTATTGTTCATATTGAATCAGTTGACTTCAGTCACCCCTTGATACTATTTAATGAGGATACAACATGATTTCTGTGGTTTTATTGCTAAATAGGCATATTGTCATTTCAGTTACGACAAAACATCAGGCAAACCCAAATTGAAGGGTCTTCTAAAAATTTTTTTCTTTTAGAAAGTGTCAGGTTCATGAAAGAAAGACTGAAGTGTTAAGAGACTGGAGAAGGCTAATAATAATTAAAAGCATCTTGGGATTCTGATAAGGTCCTAGAACAGAACAACATTAGAGGGGAAAATTTAATTAGGTTTATAGTTATTAGTGGGTAATTATCATATTTTACCAATTTTTTAATAATTGTATCTTGGTAAGGTAAATGTATTATTTAATGGAAATTAGATGAGGTATACATAGGAGTGTTGTACTATTTTTGCAAGTTTTCTGTTAAAGTACTATAGGTTTTGGATATAGTGTAGGGAACAAATGACATAAGTTATTTCACTTTTGAAATGAACTCTTTATTTTTTTATTTATTTTTTTGGTGGTGCAGGGATTAAACCCAGGGTAAGGCAAGCACTCTACCAATTGATAATAGCCCCAATTTCCCCTCATAAGAATTTTGATTTTAAAAAATATGATAACTTGTCTTAAAATAAAAGAAAATCATCTGGCTAAAACTGCTACTGAGTAAGATAGCTTTAATTGTTAAACCAAATAACCTGGACTCTGCCTTTATATTTTTACCTTAGTTGGAATAGAAAAACCTTGCTTAGAAAAGTATGTTTTCAGAAAACTAAAGAATTTCTTTGGAGTTAGAAAGGTTTTTAGTTTCTTTTTAAATGCTATAATAAATTACGTAAATTTTCATGAGCCACTTAATTCTTCAGAGGCTGAGTTCTACCTGTGACTTGTCTACTTACTAGTGTTTTTTTTTTTTTTTTTTAAGGGGTTACTATAGATTTAACCAGGGGCAAATTATCACTGAGCTGCATCCTCAACCTTTTTGTTTTTTATTTTGAGACAGGGTCTGACTACATTGCTTAAGGATCTCAGCAAGGTCTTAAATTTGTGATCCTCCTATCTCAGCCTCCTGAGTCACTGATATTACAGTAACGTGTCACTGTACCTGGCTGTTTAGTAGTTTTCATCATTTACTTTTTGCTTCGTTTCTTTTCTTCTCAACACTTTCCTGCCTATCCATTTATTTCCTAAATCTTTCAATATATTATCATTATTTTTTTCACAGTTTTGGGGATTAAAGCCAGGGGCACTCTACCACTGAACACTTTTTTCCCCCCAACGCTTTTTTTTTTTTAAATTTTTATTTTTTCATTTCAAGACAGGGTTAAATAGCAGAGATTGGACTCAAATTTTTAATCTTCCTACCTCAACTTTCTGAATCTCTGGGATTACAGGTGTACACCATTATACCCAGCCAGCACATTATTTTAAAGTCCTTATGATGTGTTGGGTCAGCTTTTCTTTCCTATAACCCAAATACCTGACAGAACAAATTAGAGTAGTAATAAAATAATAAAATAAAAGAATCTTTTATTTTGGTTTACTGTTTCAGAGGATTCAGTCCATGATCAGTTAGCTGCATGATTAGTAAGGCAGAACATCATGAAGTCAGTACTTGACAGAGGGAAGCAAAGAGGGAGAAAGACAGGAAGGAGCTGGGGACATGTACACCTTTTCAGGACATGCCCCTATAACCCACTTACTCCATGTAGGTTCTACCTCCCATTAGTTCATTAGGCTATCAATTCATTCATCCAGTGAGTTAATTTACTGGTAAGGTCAGAGCACCCATGATCTGATCATTGACCAAAAGCTCTATTTTTTAATTGCTGCATTGGGGACCTTGCTTTTCAATATATGACCTTTTGAGACATTACAGATTCAAATCATAATAGAGAGATAATGGGTCCATAGAATGTACTGTAAGCTTAGGCGGGCTGGGGTTGTAGCTCAGTGGTAGAGTGCTCACTTAGCATTCAAGAGGCACTGGGTTCAATCCTCAGCACCACATGAATGTAAAATAAAGATATTGTGTCCACCTAAAACTAAAAAAATAAATATTTAAAATAAATAAATTTGAAAAAATAACAGAAGGATCTGAGCACAGTGGCACATTCCTATAATCCCAGCAAATTGGGAGACTGAGGCAGGAGGATTGTGAGTTCAAGGCCAGACTCAGCAACTTAGACCCTGTTACAAACCAACCAGCCAAAAAGGACTAGGAGTGTGTAGCTTAGTGATAAACACCCTTGGCTCTAGTCCCCAGTATCAAACAGACAGACAAAACTCTCCCCCAAACAGAAAGCAGCAAGTCAGATTCATTCAGTAAGCATCATGGCTTAGTGCCTAGATCCTCTGTTTTTAGAATCCTGTAAAAATATTTGAGATTTGAAGATTGTTAGAGGAGATTTCGATTTAAAACAAATTATAAAATTAAAATTGTATTAATTTTAAATTAAGTATGATGTAAAGGGTGATATATTTGTCATACCTCTTTTTCTTTTTTTTGTCCCATTTATGAATATAACATAGGAATGCTCCTTTACCTGAAGAGATAACTTAAGAGTACCTTGCAGAATAAGAAAAATAGAAAGCAAACATGGACAACAGGAATATTTATGCCACTTGTATATTTAGATTGTGGAATCACTGGTGTGATATATCACAAGGATATTGCTCTTAATCAGATTGTTCCCATGTCATGTTAACTTTTTCATATCTTTTTCTTTATGCATACAAATTAAGAATACTGGGTTTTGTTTTGTGGGACTAAGAATTGAACGTAGGACCTCGCACATACTAGGGAAGTGCTCTAGTGTTGTGCTATAGCACAATCCTTTTATAAATTTTTATTTTGGGATAGGGTTTTTCTAAGTTGCTCAGGCTAAGCTTGAATTTGTGATCTTCTGCCTCAACCTCCTAAGTAGCTGGTATTACAGGTGTGCACCACTGGCAGGAACACTGTTTTTTACTTGCCTTTTTTCTGACAATAAATATTCTTTTATTATCAGTAAATGCATACCTACCCTTTTGTAACAGCTATGTTCCTTCGGATTAGTGAACCTTGATTTTTTTTTCCCTATATACTGATTAATGTGTCTTTATCCTTGCACATTTGTGCACATATTTGTTTAGTTTACTGGAAATTGCTTTGCACATTTTTAAATTATATGTTAGAAGTTGACCGCCAACAAGATCATATTATGTCTGCAAAGCTTTAAAACCAAGAATAGTTTTTAAAATGTATCATTTAGTGGCAGAATCTGATGTGAATATGTTGGATGGAGAAGCTTGACTTGAAATTATGTTATCTTGTCAATCTTTATGTTTTCCAAAGATCATGCATGTTCACCTTACTGCAAAAATACTGATGTGGTTGGTTATGAGGTGCCAGCCTGAACCTCATTGGAAATTTAGTATTAGTATATTGATCTTTTTTAAAAACCAGAAAAAGTCTATTTAAAAACACATTTGTCTTAAACATTCTTTTGATAAGGTAATTTTTAGCTGGGGGTGATGATGTATAACTGTAATCCAAGCAACTCAGGAGGCTGAGGCAGGAAGATCACAAATTTGAGGCCTGCAAGATTTGAAAAAAGCACAAGGAGAGCTGGGGATATAGCTAAGTGATAGAGTGCCTCTGGATTCAAATCTCAATACCACAATGATGATGGTGGTGATGATAAGAAGTTTTTACTTGTTCCTGTGTACATTTTCAGTAGTATGTGAATTTGAAAGTATTTTGTTAACAATAAAATTTATGAACTGATTAATGCATTTACTAAAGATGTTTTTTAAAGCGTGTGATAGTTTTATTTTGCAGAGTTAGGCAACATTTTAAAAATAGCATAGATTTTGGTTGAAATCCACGTAGGAACATTGTTTCTTTACTTCTTGTGAGCCTAAAACCTTACTCTTGAGTAACTTAACAGATTTTCTTCTGGCAGTGGAAGAAGTCACATATTTCAGTTAATGGTTTTGTGTTTGTGGGGAATGTTGTGCATCATTCAAAATGCAGTGTTTTGAAGCTTAATTCTGAATATTGAAAGGTGTTTATCCAAGTTAACCTTTGATTTCTGCTGATGGGACATGAGTTTAATATAGCCTTCACTATTTCAATTACTATTTTTGTGTGTGTGTGTTTGTGTGTGTGCACATGCGTATGCATTTAGGACATATATAATTTGGAATTTGCATTGATTGAATATTAAATATTTTGAGTCTGTTCCTTAAATATTAATGTAGGTTTTCTGACTTGATCATATAATAATTTAATTACTGATTTAATAATAATCCTACATATACATATATTGATTTTTGCTTGAAGTTTTACTTGCTCTAGAACAGGAGTCAGCAGATTTTTTTTTTTTTCTGGCAAAGGATAGGATAATAAATATTTTAGTCTTTGTAGGTCATATGACCTCTGTTTTAACACCTTAACTATGCTAGCTAAAGTAAATGATTGTCCTATATAACTTAATTTACCAAAAAAAAAAAAAAAGTGTAGGCTGCTACTGTTCAAAAGTTCCTCAGTGGGTTAACAAAAGTAGGGCAAAGAGAGATCAATAAAACTTTTCCTTCTGCACACAATAGATTTTTTGTCTAGGCAGTGCATCCTTTGAGGTGGCTAATTTATGTAGGTTTTGGATATCTTGAAGATCTCTGCCATGTCACTGATAAATTTTAGACACCCCTCCCCTCTGTCTTTTTCTGGTACTTGGAGGTTGAGCCCAGGGGTGCTTTATGGCTGAAGTATATATCCAGTTCTTTTTATTTTGAGATAATCTCTCGCTAATGTGTTGAGCCTGGCATGGAACTCCACTACCATTCCTGGCTCTTTGGATTCTAGATTTCTTTCTTTCTTCCCCCTCCCCCTCCCACCTCCTTCCCCTTTCTTCCCCCCTCCCCCTCCTGTTGTACTCCTCTTTTTGTACTCCTCCTTTTGTAGTTGTAGATGGACAGAATGCCTTTATTTTAATTGCTTATTTTTATGTGTTGCTAAGGATTGAACCCAGTGCCTCATATATGCTAAGGCAAGCACAATGGCACTGAGCTATACAGCCCCAGCTTGATTTCCTGAACATAAGCATATAACCACTGAGGTTATGTGTCATTGCCTTGGGGTTTTTTGTGTGTGTATGTTTCTTTACTTTATTTCAGTTATTTCTTTGGCTGAGTTTTAGACTTGGAACAAAATAGAAGAAGGAAGTTTAAATCTAGGCACTACAATCGATCATTAGTCACAAATTTGACATATTGTAATTTGTATAAGTTATTTTTTTATATGAAATAAAGTACCTGGTTGTGGCTTACATGTCGTAGTGCTGAAATTTTTGTTTGAAATAATTTCAGACATGAAGAGGAACATCGTCGGCGTGAGGAAGAAATGATCCGACATAGAGAACAGGAGGAATTGAGGCGACAGCAGGAAGGCTTTAAACCAAACTATATGGAAAATGTAAGTAAAATATAGTTAACCAAAAATATTTTATATTATCAGGTGGGTGACATGTATTTGGAATTTTTTTAGATTTTTATTTATACAATAGTATATTTTCTAATCTCTTTGAAGTTGCCATGCTTATAACTAACTCTTACAGATAATAAAATTAGTAACTGAATGTAATATGTTTTATGAAATGGATGGTCCTTTTTTTTTTTTCCTTTCTATTTTAACTGCCCTTCTAAAAAATATAAGCTGTTAAATTAGAAATCCTGACTATATGCATCATCTCCTTGCTGATTTTTACCTTATACTGATACTAGCAAGTCTTTATTCTGCAACATTTTAGATACATAAAAATGGAGACTAGTATATACCCATCATTCCAGATATAACAATTACAAACACATGGTTGTATACATATTTTCTTTCCCAAACTATTTTGTTTGAAATATCTAACTTCATATAGTTTCACATGTATTTTTAGTATCTCTAAAATATGTGTATTTTTCTTTTAAATACCTGTATCGTATCTTAAAAATGGCTAGTTTTTGTTAAACAATTAAAGCTGAGGTTTACATAGGTCTTATAAATGATTTTTTTTTTTACAATTGATGTTTTGAATTGTCTGATTTTTTCTTTCATTTTTTTCCTTTTTTTTTTAAAGCCTCATTATGCATAGTATCTCGAATGCTGAGTTTTTCTGAATACATCAGTGCAGTGATTTAGCACATTCCTGTGTTCCTGAATTTTCTGCAAACTGAGATATTCAAAAACTTAATCTGATTCAGGTTTTGGTTTTGGAGGGCAAAATGGTGAAGCAAACAAAACTATGTCAGATATGTTAAAATCTACAAGTTTTTAATGATAATGTGTGAAGAGTTACTACATTTTTCATCTTGAAAGAGTGCCAACATAACCCATTATTCTGAAGAATATCTCTTATTGTTTTTTTTTTTCTTCTCTGATGTTGGGAGCTATGATACTTCAAAAAGAAGCTTAGACTTCTTTAGTAAGTTTCTGAGGCTAAAAGTATTAACAGTTCAAATTATTGACTCTTTTTTTCCTGACTTTCTATCCTTATTCTTCTGAAAATTTTTAGCTTTTTTTTTTTTAAACTAGAATACATAGAAAAGTAAATCTTAAGTTGTATAATAACAAAGAATATTTATCTTACTATCAGGTAAATACCCTTGAATGAAAATTATGTGGCCTTTAAATAATCAGAAAAGATTTTCATTCTTTTTGTGTTATATTAAAGGTTTAATTTAATCGAGTTTTAAATTCTATTACTGAATCAATTGAGTAATTAAAAATTCTGAGTTTTTATTGAGTAATTTCTACCATTATTTTGTAATTCTTTTTTCTTCCTTATATAATTAGTAGACATATTTTAAACTGTCATCTTGGGTTTTTTAGTTGATATATTTGCACATAAATCTTTTAAATTTTTCTATTTGAGGATAATTTAAATTATTGAAGCAAATGGGATGTTTAAGTTTTCTAGGCCCATATTTGAAAAATAGCAATTACTGGTATTATCTTTAAATATAATCACATGTAAACTATATGTGATGAATTTCTTAAGGAATCTTTCATTGAGAATTAGAAAATTCTCCTGTTATTTTTATTTACCTGAATATTTACTAAAGAATTTTCTTATAGTAAACTGATACTAATGTCTGGCATGACTTTCATATTTTTGGAGTGAATGTATAGCTATTTGTATGTCATATGCATAAATAATCAAGTTAGGGGACTAGAAGGAAATAATTAAATATATTGCTAATTTTACTTTTTTTTAGAAAGCTATTGGAAATATTACTACATTTTAAAATTGAATTATTACAGGTTCTTAGTTTTAATATTTTAAGCTGGGTGTAGTGGCTCATGCCTGTAATCCCAGCAATTTAGCAAGATCCTGTCTCAAAATAAAAATAAGAAGAACTGGGGATGTAGCTCCTGTGGGTTCAATCCCCACTTCCAGGGGCTGGGGCCAAGTGTGTTGTATTTGAAATTCATTTTAATGTTGTATAAAGTATAAAATATTACAAACATACAAAGAAGTTTGAAAATAGATTTTAGATATTAAACATACTCTGATGGGCTTATTGGCATTTCTAAATAGATCATGTATTGTTTCATGAGATTATATTCTTAGAAAAGGATTAAAAGATAATACATTCATTTATATGATATATTTCAGGGAGTTGAAGAAGCACATGTTGCATATTTTGAAGTGTCATAATCAAAATTAATTTGACTAGAACAGGATTCATCAAACTATAGTCTTTTACCATGTCCATTTTAATAGTACTTCATCACAGAGATAAGAATAGTATTAATCTTTTCATAAAAAGAAGAAAACTGGGCTTGCAACTGTAGGCTGAGTTACTCAAGTTAACTCCATTGGCTCAGGGAAAAGAATTGCTTGAGCCCAGGTTTTGATGCCAGTGTGGGCAACATAAGAAGATTACAGCTCAAAAGAGAATGTTACACGAATTTGATCCACAGTATTTTAAAATATTTGTTCTTTGCCTCTTTATAGAAAAAGTATATTGAATCTTATGGTGAAATGTTTGTGATTTCTTAGAATTAGTATTTATGTTAGGTTATAAAGTTACTGAACTCTCACTTTTCTGAAGAGCTAATATATATCAAATAGTACATAAAAGCCGGCTGTGGTGGTACACAACTGTAATCCCAGCAACTCATGAGGCTGAGACAGGAAGATCAAGAGTTCAGAGCCAGCCTCAGCAATGGTGAGGCACTAAGCAATTCAGTGAGACCCTGTTTCTAAATAAAATAAAAAATAGTGCTGGGGATGTGGCTCAGTGGCAAAGTGCCCCTGAGTTCAATCCCAGGTACCAGAATGAATGAATGAATGAATGAATGAATGAATGAATGAATGAATAAATAAATAAATAGTACATAAGTAAGCTGATAATTTGTGTGACAAAGGAATTAAATGTTTAGGGGAAATATCATCTTTTCTTTTTAAAAGCGCTTTTGAGATTAAAAATCGTATGAACAGACACAAGGCTTTCATAATTTTGTTATTAGTTTTATTTAGTTCCTAGCTTTATAATGCTTCTTGCTAATGTAAAACTAATCAAGCACTAAAAATTAACAAATGCTCTTTACCTCTCTTGACTGCATTTGGAAAACATTTTGTTAATAAGAACATATTAAGGCAGTTTTCTGAGATATTCATCCTTTACTTTATAAAATGTCATTGGAAAAATTGTTAAACAGTTTTAATTCTTATTATTTATTTTTGTTGTTGTTGTTTTGTTTTAAAGCTTTGAAATTAGGCCCTCTTATGTGCTTTCTCTTTTTTGACTGTTCAGTTTAAAGGGAGGAGTCAAATGGTAAGTGTTCAGCTTGCCTAGTAATGAAAGTAGAATTTTCTTGGTTAGTTTTAATATGTCACCTTTTATTTCTTTATCATATTCCCATTAGATATATTCCAACATAATTAAGAGCATGGAGCTATGAAGTATTAAAAATTGATTTACACTTTATATCCTAAATACTAATGTTTTTTAATGTAGCAAGGGATGAAGGAAAACACATCTGGTCATATTTATTTTTCTTTGTCAGCCTTCAACTTGATGATAATGTAGCAAGGGATGAAGGAAAACACATCTGGTCATATTTATTTTTCTTTGTCAGCCTTCAACTTGATGATAACTTTTATGACATACATGGAAATATATTTTTAAGAATATGTTGTCTATTTTTCTTTAGAGAAAAATCAAACTGATAATTGCTATTGTAATAAATGAAACATGATATTTTTGCTCTTGTAGAATAACATACTTTTGACTACTTTAAGAATGTATTTTTGTCCTGTATCTCATTTATTTTTAGGTTTATCTTTTATTATAGCATGGAGTGTATTTGACCATTTTTTAGGTAGTTTTTATGATCATTTCTAGCTAGTATTTACTAAGTTGCAGTTTTCTGCTGTCCCAATTTTATCGCTTTTGGAAACATAACAATTTAGAAATAATGAAAATTTTATGAGGTTGGCTTTTTTATGATTGTCTTGTAATGGTTTTCATGTTAGGTTGCTTCATTTGCTGTAGATGAAGTAGTTTAAACACTTAAATACTGCAGTGTTTTCTTGTGGAAAGAATTTCTACTAGAGGAAATGGTAGATTTTAATTTAAATATTTTGTTATTGCAGTTTCTTGTAGTAAATATTGCTTTTGGGGGAAATGTTAGTGTCCTAATAAATATCCAGATGTCAGTATTTTTCTAGCTATCATAATTGTATCATGTGGTGATACAAAATTTTGGTAATGTTTAGATTGAATGCTAGTAGTTATTTTTTTTTAAGTTATATTAAAAAAAATGCTAGTAGTTAATTTTAAAACCTGAAAAGTTTCTATTTCTGGTTTGGTAAATACTAAAAGTTTGCTTTTCAGTGAAGAAAAGAATGGCATTTAAGATCTGTTTAAATACCCTGCAATAAATTAAGTCTTGGTACTGTAATGTGTGTGGTCTCAGATGTGCACATAATAAACTTGGAAGTAAAGGTATATTATATGCCAAGGCAGCAGTTTGATTCCAGTTGGGTTCCTTTGACAGAGTATTCCTTGTTGCAACCTAGGGCCTGTGAAATACAGATCAGAAACATTAAGAAAATATATCCAGGGACCTCTTATGTAGCTTAGTGATAGAGTACTTGCTTTTTAGTATCCACAAGGCTATAGGTTAAGGAAAGGGAAAAAGAATTATATCCAGCAGCTGCTGGTTTTATGTCTCTTCCAAGAACAGTATTTTTCAAACACTTGGTAACTTTTTAAAAATGTGGATCCCATTGTGGAATGGTGGCACAGGTCTATAATTTCTGTGACTTGGTAGGCTGAAGCCAGGAGCATCACAAATTTGAGGTGATACCTTATATCAAATAAAAAGGGCTGAGATGTAGCTCCGTGGTAGAGCACCCCTGGGTTCAATTCCCAATCTGGAGAAGGGGGAAAAAATAAGTGGAGCCCTAGATCTTA